TCAAAGGATAGCTACGTCCTACCTATGTAGCTTGGGCCTTTTAATTTTTATAAAATTATAAAAATGTTGAGGATAATATGGGAACAATTTACTACACGTGTCATTTAGTTATTTGAGATATTTCGAGGTACCTAACCCCTTTATCAATATTTTAAAATCTGAATTAAAAAGAATTCCAATTTATTTTGATTTATCAAAAATAGCATTACCCTTGGCTTTAATGAAATGAAGATGTCGTCCCTTAAGTTCTAAATAGGGCCGTTGCAATGGGCCGTTATATATGATCTTTTGTTATTGGTCACGTTTTTTGTGGAATACTTTCTTAATTTGTTGAACACTTTTTTTATATTTTTTCGACCCTTAGTCCAATAAATTTTTAGTAATCAAGTATAAAAAAGCATTTATTACTATCATAGGAAATGAGGTTACCTACATCAAACGTCGTATCATCAACATGTACATTACAATTTATATAAAACATTAATTATTTTCTAACAACTAAAAAAATACCACTAATTTATTAAAAAAAAAAAAATCTACCTTTTGAACTTGCTCAAAAAGCTTTCTTTGTCAACAAAACCAGGGTAATGTGTGTTAAATGATTAGTGAGCAGGACAAGTGAAAACTCTATGAACGAGAGTAGCCCAACAAAACACTGTAATCAGCCTTTAAGAAATGTTGTACAAAAAGTAAGAGTAATTAAGAGCAAGGGGTCATTACTCTATAAAGCAGATATCCTGGTTTTCATTGCAATGTTTGAAAATTGCAATTTTTTTTTTAATTTAGATCGGAGTCAGTGGGTGAGAAATTTCTATGAAAGACAACAAAATTGCACCAACTATCATGTTATTTCAATTATATTTCAATTATTTAATATGCGATTTAACATCTTTTGTTTCTAATATCAAACTTACCTCGAATAAAAGAAAATTGAAAAATTGGGAAATTTTCCAAGCGGGCAGTTCTCAAAAAAAAAAAGAAAAGGGCATCGGATGGGGTTTGCATAATTTTTACAGAAACAAAAATATAATGGATTTCATAATAAAAGGGGGAAAAAAATATCCTTACTTAATTTTTTCCCTTTTTTAAAAAATTTATTCAATATATAGTTCAATGTCCAAAATCACTTGAGTCAGACAGAGCCAAACAGAGGAGAGGTCATTTCTAAAGTACCAAGTAAGCTGTAAAAGTAGAGATCATTCTCCAGCCCATAGGATCACTGTTTTTTTTAAAAAAGTAGAGATACCAGAATCTAGATCAAAGTACAAGACATTGAATCTATGGGGGGTATACTAATTCTCCTACTTTATTTTTATATATTCTTTTGGAACTAAAAATTTGTAAGTACAAGATTCTTCGTTGAATCTTTTTTTTTCCTTTTTGCAAAGTAGGGCACAATTGTATTCCATTGAATAAAGCTTCTTTTCCCATCTCCATTTTTATAGAAATGAAATATTCTGTATTTTAATGGAGGTGAAATGGGATCTCCCCTTGGGAATCTGGAAGATCCAACCATGGTGGATTGATCCAAAAATTTGATTCAAATCCGATATAGCACATGTGGGTATATAAGAAACATATTTTAGAATTTTTTTCAATGAATAAATCTGATCAGATGATTAGAAATTGATCTAACATGTGCTTTCTAAAATAGTTTTAATTCCAAAATTCCATTAAATCGTGAATTCAAAAATTAAGCTATACTTATATATTTATATATTGAGAATTTGTTTCATGCAGTAGGGAACTCATTTCTACATTTGCAGTCCCTGAAGTATAAAATATTCATTTTAAAGATAGATGCAAATGGGTTGTTCAATCTAAAAATAATTGAAACTAACGGTCCAAATGCTTTTATTTTTAATTTTAAAATTTATTTATTTATTCATATTCATGATCTCCATGTTAGAGATTACATGTCCTTAAAAATTAGGTCAAAAAATCCATCTCAAAATTAGATTTTTAAGAGGTGACTCATTTCTACATGAACTCGAAGAAACGGTGTCCTCATTTATTTCCAATGAAAATATGGGACGTGACACTATTTTATTTTGAAAATGTTATAATTTCTTTGCTTAAAAAACCTATTTCACTTCAAGAACCAAGATGTAAAAAGTATTATGTAATTTGTTTGGTTACATAGGTCGTGTAACTTTATTTTTTATTTTATTTTTTTTGGGTGAGAACCTACCTCTAATATCTTGCATATACTCGACGCAAGTCCACTTATTTGAAAATAATAAAAAAACCCCAAAAAATTTGCCATTCTTTTAAAAAATATTCAAACAGGTAGCAAATTTGATCATATTATATGACATAGCATAATGTGTTGTTCAGTGTTAAAAAAAGTCGGATTGGTGGGTTAAACTGGTCATCCACTAATTTTGAGGTAAACTAATCGAATTAGTGAATTGGATTGGGCGACTCAGCCAATTCAAAAAACAAAAAAGATAAATTAGGTTTTAAATCGCTCAATTCACGTGAACAAATATTGTTATTACGTAACACGGATTTTGAATCCAATCTATACCATGCATAAAATGAATGTAAAAATAATAATTTTAAAAACAAAAAATAATATTATTTGATGTAGTTCTTAGACCGTTAATTTATAAATTTTGGTGGGACCGTCACCTTTTAACATCCATCTCTACGTCGATGTTAGTTGCATCAGCGGATGCACATGTAGAATTGCGTCACCTAACACGCCCATTTTTCAATTTCAAAATATGCATCAAAATACACATGATGAGAAGTTAAAATAGTGGCAAATGTGTAAAAATACTAAATAGTGTATTTCTCATTTGATATTTTAATAAAAAAAAATTTGTTTTATTATCTGTTGTACATATATGTTGTACATATCTGCATAAGTTCAAATGTTGGACAGTCATACTTCTCGTTATAACAAACTTGTAAAAAATAGTAAAAATATATTTAAGATAAATACAAATGACCAAACCCAAACCCAAACCCCTCCGCCCAAATAAATTCTAGTTAGTTTGGTCATTTTGTTTATTTCAAAATATTCTTTTGGCACTTTTACAAATGTGCAATAGAAATGATCATCAACTATTAAAATTTAAACTCAATCAGCATTGAAAATAAAATAAAATGAAAATAAAATGAGTACTGTAAAAAGTTGTGCTTCAACGTAAAATATATAAAATATGTGAAACATTTTTTAAACTCTAATAATAATACAAAATCAATTCTTTAATTATTAGAGCGTTTAAGTGAAGGGCCCGTGACCAAAATTTGCATGTGAAGCCATTAAATTGCATTAAGCGAGAGAATGATGGGTGTCTTTTTGGCTATACACCTTTTAGGATAGCTCCATTCTAGAGAGAGGGGGAGAGCGTTTTAGAGAGAGAGAGAGACATCGAGAGCGATGGTTACAATATGAGAGAGAGCAATCAGGTAGGTGCGGCAATGGAGGCAGACCCGACCTGGGACCCGAAGATCGGAATTGGATCCGACTACCGACTTGGGACTCGATGACTGGACCCAATTTGGATTTGAGTATGTGTCAAAAAATTGACTCGAGGGTTGGTTTTAGGTCTAAATATTGGACTTGAATACCATTCGGGTCTGAGTTTTGGTTTGGGTTGAATAGTATTATTATTTTAAAAACATATGATAAATAATAATATTTAAATAAATATAACTACATATTTTTAGTTCTAATAAATAATACATATATATTTTGCCTCATATTTAAATCTATATTTTTTTATTTTGGGTTTGGTTCAATTTGGTCGGGTCTGGATCTGTCCCAAACCCAGACCCGACCCGTTGTCACCCCTACCATGAGGGGTGAGGGGCATAGAGCAATTTTGGAGAGCATCTTTCTCCATTGAGAAAATAAAAGGGTAGTGTTGGCAACAGGCTGCCCATCCCTGCCCCTAGATGGGCCCTTTTTCCTTGGGATTGGTTAGGCCCAACCTTGGTTATTTTGGCCGTCCAGGTCAGGCTAACCAATATTAAAAAAAAGTAAGGAAAAGAAAATAAGAAGTAAGGGCTAGGCGTACCTATCTTGGACTGACCGGATACTCCGGTAATTTTGTGGCCCAAACCCTAATTTTTGTGACCTAAACCGCAGTAATTTTGTGGCCCAAACCCTAGTTTTTATAGCCTAAACCGATCAGGCTGTTCTAGGCGACCCAACCCGTTGTCACCCCTCAATGGAGTGGTTAAGTATTTGTGATACAAGTTTTGTTAAGATACCTTCTAGAAAACTAGAGAGAGAGTTAATATTGTCATTTTCTTTACTTAATACGCGTTTAAACAACACTCTTTTTTTAACAAAAACCATGGGCAACTTTGGTCTTTCAACCAAAAACAATGGGCACCTAACGAAAATTGTCTCCTTTACTTAACCCTTAAACGCTAAATTCAAATTATGATTACACATCTTTCTCTCTCTCTAAAGCCCTGGTGGGCCCATCAAAAGTCTTGCTATTGCCACGTGAGTTGCACGTGCGAATCACCAATCATAAGACACCAAACATCTGCTTCTATCCACATCGCACGTGCATGCAGGTTCAGAGTAAATTCTCCTCCGTCACCTCTCTATTTATCCCCAATTCAATTCAAAAGTTACGCGGACAAATGAACCTAAGGATGAAGTTTCTATAAGGCCTAGGCTTTATGAAAACAAAATAAAACCTCACCTCAAATCTCCAATCCCAAAAGCACTAAAATCAATTTTTCACACTAAAAAAAAAATTTATAACCAAAAAAATGTAGAGATCTTGCCGATTGTGAATATTTGTTTTTAGGGCAAAATGAATGGTTAATATACATTATTTTTAGATTTTAAAATCTTAATATACATTATTCATGCGGAGATGAACGATTTAATGGTTAATACTTAAAATACAAAGTTTTTTGAGTTAATGAGATGAGGATTTACTTATTTTAATAAGGCTGCAGCCCTATCAAAGCATTTTTCCATTATATAAAAGCCTTCATCGGGGTACATTTGTTTAATCATTATTTTAATTCCCATGTTCAATATTTCTTCCATTCTCTGAATTTCTTCTTCTATTTCTGTACTCTCTCTATCTCTACAGTTCTTTGTATCTACATTAATTTAATCATTATTGAATTACCCATCTTCTTCTTTCCTGTGTATATTCTCTCTCTTCTCCCCTTCCTTTTCTTCCACTATTCATCTCTCTCTCAAGAATTCATCAATTGTGGTGTCACAATCAACTATAGAAACCCAATTTGGACATCTGGGTCTGCCTTAACCCACTAAAAGAAAGAGGGAGAAGAGAGAGAGAAAACAGAAGAAAGGGGAAAAAACAAAACCAGGTTTTTTTCTTCATTGCGTGTGCTTATGGGTTTCTTCCCAATTCTAGTTTCTCTCTCTAAAATCTTGCTGTGTTGGCTATTTGAGGCATAGGGTTAGTTTCCTCTGCCTTTTCCAGACAGTTGATTGTTTTTGTTTGATCACCCAAGTTAATTAATCTCTGAGATATGGCTGATTCTTGTGATGCTAAGAGCAAAGGTGAAGTGAGGATTCATGATAGCAAAGGTGAAGTGAGGATTCATGATAGCAAAGGTGAACTGAGGATTCATGATAGCATAGATGAGCTTTGCTTGGACTTAGCAGATTATGTCGCTGAGTTATCAGAGGCCGCTGTTAAAGAGAGAGGGTTTTTTGCTATTGCTTTGTCAGGTGGATCCCTCATCAGTCTTATGAAGTAAGTTTTAATTTTCCAGACAGTTGATTGTCTTTAACATTAAAAATAAAATAAACTTTATTTTTCCTTTGTTAAGTTTATTTGTTCTATGGTGCTTGCAAATTCATGGGTTATTTCTTGCAATTAGTCTTTCTTTCTAGATGGTCGTGTCAATGTGTCTTTAGTATTTGCTGATACTTTGATGAATTCATATATTTTAGCCGCAATCTACTCTCTCTCTCTCTCTAACATTTTACTGTGTGCTTTTCATGGTTCTTTCTCTTTCTCTGACATCTTACTGTGTGATTTTCATGGTTTTCTTTTAAACATACATTTTCCGTGTTCACATGGATCACTGTTAGCTCTTTTTCACATGTAGTTTCTCCATAAGGCAGTATCTTATGTTAAAATTGACCACCTCTTGTTCTGTATTTCTGTTTCTGCCGTTAGTTAATAGGTTGCCTATTCTGGTTGAAATCAAACACCATCGCATTTACAGATTGGTTATTGGTAAAAATGTTGATAAATTACTGTGAGATGTTCAGAATGTTGGTCTGTATTTCCTATATTCTCTGTGACAAATGTTCTTGGTTGGATTAAGGTTCCTTTTTGTTCGTACCTCCTCTGTAAAGCCTGAATAGCTCACTTTATCCTTGCTATGTGTTTTTCGATACAAGTTTGATATGAATTCCCTAAATTTTGTTTACTTGTGGTTTCCGTAGATTTATATCAGTTAACATTTTTTTATTTATCTGCATACAATTTTCTTCTATATATTCGGATGGAGCACCTTTATTCCTTGATGTTGCATTCATTTGTACAAATCAAACCCCAATGTCCGATGGTTGCGGGACAAGGCTCTTGCCTTAATGGCCAGGGTGGTGAAATAACAATGTGATGGCGTTCCAATCCCACCCTGCTTACCGAACAAAAAGTATTTGCTGTCTCCTCGTGTTGTCAGAGCATCATGAAATTTATTAAGGGGCCAAACTTTGCCTATATCTATGTAGATCACCACAGATACTGTTTCTTTTCTTGTTGAGGGATTCACGGGCTCTCCTATGTGAGAGAGTTTGACTGTTTTGTACAGATCACCTCTGGTTCTTGAATTGTATCCTTTACTGATCCTCTTGGGGTTTTGTTTGTCTACAACATTCATATAAAATTCTGTAGTTGTGTTGGTATGTAGGTAATATATTATTGTTCAAATAGTCGCCTTTAGTAGTTAATGTTCTACGTATTAATTCATCAGTTTTTCCAGTACTTCCTATATGTTCACCTAGATCATGACTAGCTCTTCATTTATGCTGTTAATGACTTCTGCTTTATTAGTTTATCTGGCTTTAGATTCAGGTTTTGTCCTTGTGGTTAAATGGATAGGTTGTAAAGGCCACACCACAATGTTCCTCAGAACTTTAGGGGTGTTTGTGTGTATTGGCTATAATTATGAGGTTATATAGGGCTTCTTTTGACATTTCTTGTGTTGGCAGTATAAAATAAATTATGGCCACTCATGTTTTTCTCTCTCTCTCTTCCTTTTTTTTAAAAAAAATTGTGAGTCATATGTTCAGAGTGATTCAGATTCTATTTAAGGCTTAAGCTGATTTTCGGTCTTTGAAATAGGAAACTGTGTGAACCTCCTTATCACAAGACAGTGGACTGGGCAAAATGGCACATATTCTGGGTTGATGAAAGGGTGGTGGCAAAGAATCACCCTGACAGCAACTACAAGCTCGCTAAGGATGGTCTTCTCTCCAAGGTAAGCCATTTTTAGTCTTATATCATCAACAATATCACTAGACCATTCTGAATGGAGAGATCTTGTTTTATTTTAGTTTCTCTTATTATAAAAAAGGGTAAGAGATGTTATCTTATATGATCCTTCCATTGGAGTCATTTTCCATAAGTTTTTTTTTTCCTTTTCACATTTGGGTGCATTTTAATTCCATTTGATATTTTGTGGACTAAATTTGATGGAAGACCTGGATCTAAATATCCCAAGTTTGAATTTGAATCATCTAGAGATAAATATCTCTTCCTTTATTACAACTGATAAGTAACAATGTTCAGATCCTAGTTATGCTTTTACCATCTTGTTCTTGTCTTGTTCTTGGTCCTTTTATGAACTTGAATTCCACGTTTTAGGCGTACGTTTCTAGTACTTCACATCTACTATTGGGTATTAGCTTTAGTTTTTGAGTTTGTTGAAACCCTACTTAGATTTTAATAAACAGGTTAAAAAAGTGAAGGTTCTGCGTATGCTAAGTTTTGGGGTATTAGGAATTTATTCCTTACAGGACAAAGTTAAATACTTGTTTTGTGTTTTGGGGCATTAATTAAAGAAGTCCTGCATGTCTCTCTCTACGTGAAATAAAGCGACTTATATATTCTATTAAGGGCTTTGGCATTACGTGGTAATATAATCTCCTTGAAAGTAACCTTATTCTACCTGTCAAAAAAACAAAATAAAAGTGCAATTCTTGCTGTGCTAGTAGACCCTACAATTTCAAAACTGAGGCTCTTCTGACTGGGAAAAGGTGTATTCCCTGATTCTTTGATGGGAAAGGCAATGTTTTACAACTCTAGCGAGTCAACTCGGACTCATCCGAGCCCCACCCCCCAAACAAAAAAATAAAAATAAAAAATTCTTAGGCTTACATAATCCATATAAATTGTATATAATACAATTAACTTATAATTCATTTGATGTTTTGTTAAATGAATAATAATTTCTCATATTTAGTTTTGTCTATACTCTTGATGTTTTTTTTTTTTCTTTTTGCAGTTTTAATGATTTTTCTATTTTTCTTTATTTTCTCAGGAAATGATATGATCTTTAAACAAATTTCCTTTCTTTTCACTTCTTGAATACATTCATGAGGATTTTTGTACATGGGGTCAAATTGGAGGAAATCTTTGAGATTCACTCAACCTAGTAAACTTGCATAATCTTCATGAAATAAACTTATTTATTATGCTCTTGTAAAAACACTTCAGTTGTCTTTGAGTAAATGTGACATATACAGTCCACATATCGATCCATTCTGCAACATATAACTCCATGTCTTTTATCCCTCATGGTTTAGGGATTTTATTGTAGCAACTTTTTTCTTCCTTTAAAATGTGAGTGTAATTAAAGGATGAAAACAACATTTTAGTCAAAAGCATGACATGTTAGTATCTTATCTCTTTTAAATAGGGGAAATATGGGTAATTTTTCAAAAAAATAGATATAGAAACATAGATCAGGTTGAACAACAAAGCACATACAAAATAAAGGTGCATTGAGGAAGACAGGTCAAGTAGAAGACCGTCAAATTCCACGATGTGTCTGTCTCTTCCAACTCCTAATAATTAAAAAACGAAATAAAAAATCCTTAAAAATCTGTTAAAATAAGTAAAAACAAAGAAAATAATAAACAATAAGAAGTGTACATAAAAGATGATGTTTTGTCTTTTATCCATACTGAGAACTGATTATGTTATAGTATTATCCCAATGCCTCATCTTATCTTACATTGGGCCTATGATTTTTTGGAACCTTCTCAATAAATCATGAGTTTGTTGGAAATCAAGCTGGCTTTCTACCGTTGTTTTAGCATCACGATTTGCGAGTAAGGTGCAGGCCTACATGCTTGACTTGGCGCTGCATGTCATTCCTTGAGGCTCCTTGGATGGCCTCTCCAAAATGAGCGCCTGTCTGTTTGGATAAAAATATGTAAGGAGTTTCTTGTTGAACAAATTTAGAAGTTATACACAAGTGATGACTTGTTCAGTCCTAAACCTTGGGCAGATGACCCCTGTAAATAGAAGTTTGAATTCTTCCATTCCACATGTCGATGACTATGACTTGTAACATCTTATCATATTTTGGAATTTGGATCATTGATCTTATCATGATGTTCCATTTTGTATTTGTTTGACATGATTATTTAAATTGATCACTTTAATAAATCATATTGCATTCGATGTTTCTGTACCTTCCACTCATGGCGGGTCATCTTTACATCTTCAAGTATGCACATTTGGGCAGGGATCATAATTTGAGTTTAATGTACACTGTAGTTGACTTATCAATGTGCCTAATCCACCCTTCGTATATACATGTAAGTTTGTGGGTTGAACATGCCACCATGAAGTTTTTCTCTATTTGTTGAGAACAAGAGACAAATTAACTGTCTTTATTATTAGTATGGGAACCTTTTGATGTGCAATAAGTATTAACATGGCTTACGATTTATGGAACTTCATTTTTTTGAATTTTTAATCATGCATTAAACTATGTTTTCTGGGTGAGGTTTGCATTATAAACAATTAAAGTAAGGTGCACCAAAAACTATGCCGAAAGATGTTTTTTTGGTGCCAGAAAGCCTTGCGATGGTATGAAGATATATTGTCAGCCCTAATTATGAAATTTAAAACTTCAAAAACGGTGAAGATTGAACAGATCGATAAACAACTGAATATTTAGAAAATAGATTGTCCAAATAATGCATCATAAGATGCACTGCTTTCATGACTTGAAATCCTTGTCTCTTCATTGGGATGATTAATTTGAGGGTTTTCCAGCATCAGACCAACATTTTCCAATGGGTTTTTGAGGTGAATCTTACTTCAATAGTATAGATTGACACCTTATATAAATTTTTCCTGTTCTTTTTTCATATTTTTAGAAATTGTTTTGAGGCTTGCACATTCTAACCCCTTTCTTGTGACCACAATCATCCTGTGGCTTCTCTGGGCATCTTTCGAGGTGCTTTATTATTTTCGTCTTCCTTATTACTTGGGTTTGCCACCTTTTACTCTATCCATAGAGAAATGTATGAAATGTTCTTTTTGTGGCAATATAAATATAGCTATGCTGTTTCTAGTTTATTCTATTTTGGGCTCCTTAATTATGGTTCTGAAGTCACTCCTATTCATTTTTAAGAGACAGGGGTTTCGGTTCTATGAAGCATCTAGATCCTTTGATCCGTAGTGTATGGTGATTGATTTTGGCCAAGTATGCTTCAAAGTGACCTATATATTTGGATATCTTTGACTTGGATATTTGTTCAATGACTCATTCTTTTTGTGGGGTTGTTCCTCATGCTTTACTTCTTGTTTGAAGGGTATAAAGAATGATATAAATTTCTAGAGGTTAAATCTCAGAATATACTGAAAATGAGACCCCTCTTGATGAATCAATTGCTCCTATTGCCATAATGGATAATTTGTATAAATTAATTATATGAATTTAATATTACTATAGGATATCTATATTTACACTGTGAATAATGTTTACATGATCAATCCAATATCTCCAGCAGCACACACTTGTATATGGTGCCCAGTGCTTTAAAAACCGAACTGGTCACACTATCGAAACTGAGCCCAATCGGCGGATTCCGATCTGGCTCATTGGTTCTTCAGGGTTTACTTGTATTGAGAAAAGAGAAATTTAAAAAACTGGGGAAACTGGGCAAGTCTGGACGGCCTTTAGACCCAGAAGGCCCACGGATGGGTTTCCAAGCCACCTCAGGTGGTTTTTAAAACACTGATGGTACCTAATACCAGTTTAATCCATTCTTTTGTCCTTGCAATTGTTTATCAATTTTAAGTTTTAAATGGTATGGAGATGCAATTTAGTCATTCAAGCATGTCAAGAGTTGTACAGAAACGTAAATAATGTAGTACAACATTTATAGTTTATTGTATTGAACTTTTCCAAGTTTCCATTTTTTGTAGCCACACTTAGGAGGTTATCTCACACACACACACACAGAAAGAGAGAGAGAGAGAGAGAGAGAGAGAGAGAGAGAGAGAGATGATATAGTAGAAGATTCACCCTATCCACCCCATTGATGCAGGTCCCCATTGTGCCAAGTCACGTGTACTCAATCAACGACTCACTCACAGCCGAGGCTGCTGCCGAGGAGTACGAGTTTGTCCTCCGGCAGCTCGTAAAGACCCGCACTGTTGCTGTGTGCGAAAGCTGTGACTGCCCTGGCTTTGACCTAATCCTTCTGGGAATGGGACCCGACGGTCACATAGCCTCTCTCTTCCCCAACCATCCAATCCTCGATGAAAAAGATGAATGGGTCACTTTTATAACTGATTCACCAAAACCGCCACCTGAAAGGATCACATTCACGCTTCCTGTTATAAATTCGGCAGCCAATGTGGCTATAGTTGTGACTGGTGGAGAGAAGGCAGATGCCATACATCTGGCGATAGGAGATGAGATGGCAACACATGGTTTGATCCCCGCCCATTTGGTGGCGCCGAGCCATGGGAACTTGGTGTGGTTTTTGGATATGGCAGCTGCCTCAAAGATTGTTGATTCTTCTCAATCCACTGATTCTTGATGGTGTAAATGGGAGAGGAGTTGTAGATTTGGTTCAAGGAGGCGGACTTTCACGTGTGTTCTTGTTCAAAGTGTTCTTTTTATTTTTTGCCTTTTTATTTTTCTGTTATGTTTTCTCATTTTGAAATTCTGTTTTGCCAACCCTTTTATACTTCCAGTCTTTGATTGTGTTCTTGTAAGAGACATGAAGAATAAATTGGCCCTTAAGGTTCAGAAGACTTGTGAGTTCGCTTAATGATTCGTATTTGATTCTCAGTGTCTTCTTTTCTGTTCTTTTACTTTCGGTGTTGCCATCCACTGCAACCCTTTGATCTTATACTCGTTTTGAGACACTGAATTAATCGCCCAGAGGTTGAGAATAATTCCAAGTTGCTTAAGAGCCGTCTTCTTTGCCTTGCTATTCTTTTCTAATTCTGTCTACCGTTTTAGACACATTTTATGCTGCCACTTTGTGTTCTTGTAAGGCTCTCTCAGCAGAGTGATTTCTGAGTGGGGAACTAACCTTTTAATCTAAAGGAATATCGTACATAGTAGTCCAAATGAGCATCCATTGTCATGATGAATTGGCCCAAGGAAATAGGTTAGGGGAACTGAATTTTGGCTTAAAAATTTTGAGTTTGAGTCCTCTCATAAATGCGGAGTGATTCCTGAGTGGGGAACTAACCTTTTATTCTAAAGGAATATAGTATAAAGTAGTCCAAATGAGCATCCACTGTCATGATGAACCCTGGACATTACATATATTTGGGGCCAACTGGGACCCTTTGCAATTTATCTCCACCATCCATCCCCCTCGTTGGAGAATGGTATTCAAAGCCATTCAAGGGACACGTCTAGTTGTGATTATGGGGTTTGAACTTTTTGGAAATATACAGCTGAGTTTCAATTGCGGGGCCCAAATCTGAGATGGGGCTGACAAATATTAACTAGAGACTTCAACTCAAAACCAAATCATTTGAAGTTCGACTGAAATGCAAATATAGTTTTAGGGCCTTTTAATATGGTTCTGAATTTTCAAGTGGTCACATTTCTGTTAAGATTCTGATCTGATTTTATTTGCATTTTCATTTCTTTGGTCCTTTTTCGAGTGAAGGAACTCCAAACACATCTTGAAATTTGGTTCTGATATGGACTTGTCTAATAATTACAGAAGGCAATTACACTCAATCAGGAGGAGAAGGGGGGAGGAGGAAGTCAACAATGCCTCCAATCAACAACATCCATTCACCCCACATCCTCAATCTATTGAAAAAGAAACTAATCTTAAACAGTAATTTACTTAATTCATCATTAACACTCGCCATTTGTAAAACCACTTGGCAGATAAAAAGACCAAAACCAGAAAGGATAGATTAGACGTTTTTCTTCTCTCTTCTTTGATAAATAGGACATGATGCCCGCTACAACACCACATCATCAAACAATCACAAAATTTTACAAGGGGACTGTAACTCCCACTCTATAAACCAACCCCCCATTATCCATACAAGCTTTTTTTCGTCGATATTTTTCCCCTACCAATCATTTTCATTTCAACATTACCCTCATGAGCGTATCGGTTCAGGTTCAAGTTCAGGTTCAGACTCAGTTTCAGGTTCCTCTGTATGGAATTCCTCCTCTAATTCTGGTGGCCTTGTTCGAAATTTCATCTCTGGGTCACGCTCGATTGTGCGATATTCCTTCTCTGTAATAGAGCTGAATCCATGTGATTCATATGGTGGTTCTAGACTCTCTTCTTTTGGAGGGAACCCCCTTATTCGGCCAATGAGCCATTGGTGATGAACTCCACAGTTAATGGCATACTTGACTGCATGCCGTAGATATCCTCTATCAGTGCAGAGGTCAGGCTGGAGCACTAACATTCTCATTAGAGCTGAAAAACAGGCAAAAATATGTCACAAGTATGCAGATGGTATTCGATAGGATACTATGAGTGTGCTCGTTCCAGTTACTCTGAGAAAGTCATATATTTTGCTCTCTCTCTCTCTCTCTCCTCTCTCTCACACACAAAGAAATGTAGATTGTTTCATTTAGTACAATTCCAAAAATTGATCATAGACAAACTAAGAGATAAGGCCCTGTTTCGATAGCCAGCAACTCCCAGTCATTTAGAAATTTGCTGTATGTCAAAAGAAAAAATTTAACCTAAGACAAACGGGTACTCTTTTCTTTTTGCAATCGAGCAATTTGGATGGATTTTGGAATAAACTGGTTTATAATTGGGGGCTGGGTTATAATTGAGGATAATGGAGAGAACTAAGATGCACCGTTTTCCCACTCCTAAATGGGTGCAGGAAGAAACAACACCATTCCTTTTCAAATGGTCAGCCGAAATAGGAGCTAAATTTATAAACTCCAGAAAATCTCCACATCATAAAACCAAATTCTAGTTTTAAAGGAAACCTGTGACTGACACGTTTGCTAAAGAAGGGGCTGCTGGGGTGCTCACAAGGAGCGGATAGCAACATCTACGACCACCACAGCCTCTAGAGGACTTCTCCCACATTTTTGTATGGCACATTCTCATTCCCCTGAACTGACATACATATGACCCCGCCATTTTTTTACTAGTGGGATTGTACAGTTCCCTTTTCAGGAAACATGTATTGAGCACCTGAAATGTGGGCTGCCCCCATTTTTTTGATATACCATGTATCCATGACATATGATATACAAAGTTACTGGTTATCAAAAAAGAAAAAAAAAATCATTCAAGGCATGGATTCGGCCTAATAACACCACTGTTTGTTTAGAGAGAGAGAGAGATTTGATGGTCCTCTGAAATATCTTACCAGCAACAATGGCGTCACCTGAAGTAGACATGTCACAAGTGAAGGGGGAAATAGGGGCATCCTCCATTCCATTTTCTGCACCATCTGTTTTCTCCATGTAGTAGTGTATCTTAGAAGTCCCATTAGTCACAAATAAAACCTTGAGACTTTCATGCCACAATGGACTGATCACTTCTCGTTTGTGATGGATAAACTTGGACTTGTCATTATCTTTGGTATCAAACTTCTCTGAAGGTTCAATGCCACATAAAAACTCTAATTCTTGCTTGGTCACCTCCACAAAATCAGCTTGCTTCCAAGCCTGCTCAATGAGTGTTCTTGTTTCCTCTTTAGATTTCCATAGGGGCAATGGGAGGTTTAAATCAAAGAAAACCACCCCACCAAGCTTCTTCAAAAGATCAATGGCCTCCATGGTTGTGGACCTCATTTCTTGGTCAACCAAAGATGAAGAATTGAAATAAAACATCTTAGCCTGCAGATAAGAATGGATATTAGAAAGTCGGATATTAGAAGTCGATACTAATGACGAAGCCGTATGGATTTTGCTGATGTTAATAACCTTATGGAAGGATTTTCTCATTTAATATGTAGGGTAATCCAAAATAATACTTAATAAGACTAAAGCGACAGCAGCACAATCCAAATTGTTTTTTTTTCCCCCAAATGTTAAGAGCCTATAAAGTTAGGACTGCAGTCACATAGTGAGTAAAGTTAACAATTTTCCCAAATTGTTAAGCTTCTTGACAGAGTGTAAAGTTAACAATTTTGCAACATAATTAGTTTCTCAACAGTGGTCAAGTACTTCAAAGGCCAAATTGCTTAAAATTTTAGGGAACCTCCAAGATTGAAATTCTTGAAATTTAAGTGCAACGTGGAAAAGGCCACACAAAATGAGGAAGAAACGCAACTGACCACCTCCACCCCACCATGACCGGGAATGTCCGGAGAAATACGAAACACATAATATAAAGCAACTTGAGGGGAGAAGCCAAAAGAGCTTTTTGCTTGTCCCCGATAGACATGTCAATTATCAAAATCCCATATCTTGAGAAAATTCCAGAGGATAGTCAGGTCGTATAGAAAATGCATGCAGCTTTTAACGAAGCAATGTGTATGTATTGTGAAATAGACTTATTACGGTAAAGAATGAGTTTAAGAAATTAGGATAAAGGATGGATTCAAGAAACCTCATGTACTACTAGAAAATTACACAGCTTACACATTGGTAGAGAGACCTGAAGTAGTGAGATTTCATGCCCTACAGGTGGGTTGCGGCATGACATTGGTACGGAGAACCTGACCCAGTGGGACTGCATGTCCTACGGGGGAGTTTCTTGTAGCATTATAGTACCTACCTTCTAAATTTATAAAAGGATCATGATTAAGAAATCAAGGTCAGCACCGGTTAGGATGGACGATTTGGTTCAGGCGGAATGCTCTAAACGGGTAAAGGGAAAGCCCAAAAAGACATGAAAGGAAGTAGTGAGAAAAGATATGGTGATTCATGGTCAGACTGAGGGTATGGCTCTTGATAGAGCAGAATGGCAGAACAAGATTCATGTAGCCGATCCCAAATAGTTCGGATAAAGCTTGGATGATGATGTAAGATTAAGAAATCAAGGTACTTTTGCCAAATGTAGTATTGGAGATTTGGCAAGCAGTAAGAGAGCGTTCAAATGGTTCTTGTTAGAGGTAAGCATAGTATGAATCATGAGAGTGGGGTGTGAGGCATTGTAGGATGTTCAGGTTATAAGGTACTGTTGATGAAGTCAACTGGTCAAGAGTATGTTTGAAAAGAAATATTAGGTTTAAGGAGGGGAGAAGGAAAGTAGATCGATTGAATGAGTTTAACGTTTTGGGGAGGGGGGAGGGCTGGGGACCTTTGGTGCATGGAGGTGTATGCCTTGGATACCACTATAGCGATTACTGGGGAGGCTAGGGCCTCAGAGCATTTCACAGGAAGGGGGTGTCCCAAGTTTATGATGGATGCAATGGAGAAAAGGCCTCCAATTTGGTGTCTATGCTGCAATATATAAAAGGTATTTTGCAAGCGTCGAGGAGATAGACAAGTAAGCAGTATTTTGCAAGCGTTGAGGAGATAGACAAGTAAGCATTTTAGATTCACATAGGAGGTTTGTGGATAGATCATTCTTTTACATTTTGGTGAGTGTACAGAGCTTAATAAAGAGTAGGAAACAATAATGGGTATTGTATCTTCTCAATACAGGTTAGAGAAGCATAAACCTTTAGGGAATGTTGAGGCTTAATTTTGATGGGAACTCTTCAAAGAATTCAAGAATCGATGGCTGCAGCCAACCTAATCAAGGATATGGGTGCCACTGAGATAACTTTCCAAGGATTAATGGCATGACATTTTCTAGGAAAACACATACTAAAGCTTTTGTTTGCTGGATGAGAAATTTTTTGTTTTCTGGCTTCGCCCTTGCCCATGGGAGGTGGTTTATTGAACAATAGAGAAGTCCAAGTCTGATGGAGACATGGAGGTCTGCCGGAGGAAATTATAAAGGTGATAAGCACCATGGGGGTTTCTAAACAACATCTAAGTGGAGAAGCAAAGGTAATCATCTAGCAACGAGGTTATATCATGATGGTTTGGGGACAATTTGTTGCATACCCTTGTCACAGTTATAAAATTGTGCTGTAACACTTCTAGTATCAGTTAGACACTGACAGAAGTTCAGTATAAAAGTAGCATAATCTCAAACCAGATTAAAATTGTTATGTTTCCAAAGAATTCCATATTAAAATTGTTATTTTTAAAGTCTTTCCCATTATTTAAACACACCAAAGAATTTAAAAGGAGGTATAAACCATATGACAAAATTATAACATAAAGAAAACCAACCCTTTTGAGATGATTACATGCACAAAGCAATAAATAATTGGTTATGGTATTATATAACAAATAATAGACAATTGGTTTAGAATTTGCATGCAAATCATTTATTTTAGGATAAACAAGTAAACAGCATTACCTCCTTCAGAACATCAACATTGATCTCTGAGCTGGAGAAACAATCTTCAGAACCAGGTCTAGCACAGGTCAGTCTAAGTTTTCCTCCCCTTTTGCTCAGCTTCATATAGGAAAGTGCAGTAGCTCTCTTGCCATCTATGCGAACTGATCGAGTTTGAACATTGTGCAAATTCAAGTGATAGAGCAAACTATGACCATAATCATCATCACCCAGTTTACCCATATATGCTACCTTGCCACCTAAACTAGCAAGAGCCAATGCCACATGGTAAGATGAAGTCCCCGGTGCTCTAACAAACTTGGTAGGAGTCCATATCAACCCTTTTCTGCTTTCATGCATATCATAGTCAACTAGTCTATTAGCTGGCCTTCCAGATGGTATAAATGAATATTTGGCAGGTCCAAAGCAACAAACAAGGGGAGGCCAATCATAAGTTATGCTTGCATCTTCATCCTCATCTTCTTTTGGTTCCAAGTCGCTGTCTTTGCTTTCACTACCAGATTCAGTGGAAATGGGTTTCTCAAGATCCTTACTATCTTCATTGTTCTTGCTTTCATCCTCTGTTTCATTGAGAACCTCCTTAGACTTTCTCCGTCGACCTACCTTCTTGGTAGTGCTCTCTTTCTCTGAGGTAGTTGAAGGACTAGCTGCAAAATTCCAAATGGCCCAAGAATGAACTAAGGCTGATGATGCATGCTTTGTGGTTGGCATAGTTTTTCTTTTTTTGGCATAGTTAAACTGGAAAATGAAAATGTTGGATCAAATCACAAAATTAAGCTTCAAAACAAATAGAAAGCAATTAAAATATAATTATCAGTAACTGATGTTAAAATCTGACAAACATCAATGTGGAAATACTTAAAATCGACAAACATAACAAAAAGGCTGTTGTTACCGACTGAAAAATGAAAAGCCAAAACTGTCATGTGCATAAATATATTGCTGAATCTTTTTTGATGATTCATACCCATTGCTAAATTGCCAAGCCAAAGCTCAAATAAATGAAAAAGAAAGGGTGGTACCTTTTTTCTTTCGTCCTCTACTTGAAATCTTTGGAGGATCTTCAGCAGATGTCATTGACACAGTGCTCTCTTCTAGTTGAGCATTGCTAGTTACTGGCGATTGAGCTTCTTCCAATGAATCAACTTCTTTTGCCTTTCTTCTTGGTCCTCTTGGTTCTCTCTTAGATCCTCTAGATGGTTTCTCAACTGCAGCTTGTTCTTCAGTCATAGAATTGTTTTCTCCAAATTCTTCTGCATTTTTCTTCGAACAAACTGCTCTTAAACACCAATTCCTTTGCAATCTAATTTCTTGAAGCTTCAAAAGATTAGAAGTGATGCATAATGGTTGACCTGTTTGTAATCTGAATGGACAAAGCAGAGAGTATAAGCAAAGAAATTGGAGCCCACTGGTTCATTTAGTTATTTGCAAGAGAGAGGAAATAATTTCTCACGGATGCGTTTATTTTGTAGAGAGATAAAGTCACTCTCACAAAGAAATCATCTCTTACCCATCATGAATAAAAAAATAAAAATAAAAAAGATAGACATGAATGTACAAATACCAATTTTGAATAAACTAGAGAGAGAGAGAGATTATTGTTGATAACCAAAAAGAACGAGTGTTATACTGTAAAAACAGTGATTTGTGAAACAGGGATTTGTATGAGGCTATTCAATAGAGACGAGGAACACAAAGTTGGGTAAATATAAACAATGGGCCGAAGAACAAGAGAACAGACCTGGTAAGAGGGAGAGAGTGGGAAATGGGTCCAATAGAGAGCGCCATTCAAAGAGCTTCTGCAACCCAAAACTCCCTCCTTTTCTCACTCTTCAGGAATTGCAAAAGTGCAGCTCCAGTATAATCACGACAGGGCTGAAAAGGCCACGGCTTTGAAGCCTGCAGTTAAAGGTGAATTCAATCTCTCTCTCAGTCTCTATAGTGAGATGTGGGCAAGAGAGAGAGTGTTATAGGATAAATTATTCAAACCCAAAAATCCTCCTTTTTTAAGGTATGCACAGGATTGGAGATGGCAACGAGCAACTGAGCCTCTCTCCATCTCTCCAGGTAAAGACAAAGAAAAAGAAAGGCAATTCGACATTGCCTTTATCCCGCAGGAAACTTCTTTACGGTAATCTACTGTAAGGGAATGCATAAAAACTCATATACTCCTCCCTGTTCAACCATCCATTTTGAATTGAAGGCTGAGATGATTCCAATTACAATGTCACTTCTCTATTTTTATTTTTTATTCCGGAAAAGTTCACATGGAGCTTACGCTATGCCTACCTCAAAAATTTCATTAGAAGAGGCTTATTTGATGCCCAAATATCATCAAATTGGACACCTCAAAATTTTCATTAGAAGTGGTTGTTTTGATGCCCAAATATCATCAAATTAGAAGTGGTTGTTTTGATGCCCAAATATCATCAAATTGGACACGAGAAAAAAATGAATTTTAAGTATTAGAATTAGCGCATCTTACAATGTATTTTTTGACCATCAATTTTTAAGTTCTCATAGATCTGATCAATCTATACTATTTTTGAAGCTTTAAATTTATAACTAAATATAAAAATATATTATAAAGCTCACAACAATTTCCAATATCAAAACCATATTTCTCGACACTATTTGAAGGGGACTCTAATTTGATTGTTTAGAGTCTCGGCTCTATATAAACTGTACCCTTTTATTTTTTTTACTTTGACCCTCACTCATTTATTAACCTTGCACCTTAAAAAAATATAAAACAAATATTTTTAATAAAATAAAATGATCAAAATACCCTTAAAAATTTTAAGAGATATTTTGGTTATTATATTTTACCAAAAAAATTAATATTTTTTAGATGCGTCCCATTGAGATGATGTCACTTACCGAATTTCATATTCCTATTACTTGTATTAAAAAAATTAAAAATAAAATACTATAAGGCGTCGAATCTAGATCAAATGGTCAGTAGCTCACTTGATCTAAATTGAACGGTTGGATGGGGGAAGTATATATCTTCCATGCAATAGGGGAATATAGTAATAGGAGAATTATACAATGAGTTCAAAGGCGGTCACAACTAATCTTGACTGCTTGATGTGAAATTGGATGGTTTCATTTAATGTTTAAAAACTCAACTCAGCAATGGTACTCGGGACCTGGCCGAGGTGATTTACTTGAACGTGTCCGAGTAATTCACCTAAGTCCAACTCATCTTTTTTAAAGATAATGAAGAAAAATCTCCTTTATTAGCAAAATGAGAGTGATGTGTTGGGTAGTGCGATTTATGTAAAAAAAAAAGTTTATATAAGGATGCAACCTTATAATGTAGAACTACGGATGCCTCTCAAAAATCCATCGGAAAAGGTAGTTTTAATGTTTATAAATCGTTTGATTGATCATCTCGACATTGAGATGTATGACTACGTAAAATAAAAAGATTTTAAGAACATAGTGTGTTGTACAACATATTATCTACACCGTCCATTTTCAAGATTTTCATATGTTTATAGATCTACTTGGTTTTAACCATTTTTTAAATTTAAAATTTTATAATTAGATACAAAATTAGATTTTGAGATGATCCTAAGAACATTTTATATCAAAATTATATACATGATAAAATTTGAAGGTGCACCTTACCTGTACATCTACGGATGCATCTATATGCCAACTGCACCCTTATGTAAAAGGACCTCTTTATAAGAAGTTTGGCATCAATTCTCACAAGAACTTTTTTTTTGTTTGAGTAAAGTTGAATGCTTAAATAATGTTTTTTTTTTTAAAAAAAAAAACTTTTTTTGTTTTGTTCGAGCAAAGTTGAACGTTGAAATGATGTTTTAAATAAATGTTTTTAAAAAAAAAATTTTTTTTTTTTTAGGAAAGTCGATTCGAACCCGTAAATGAGGTAAACTTTAGCCCTTAGAGGTAACCAATAAGCCATCTTAACATATTTGATATAAAGTTGCGCTAATAGTTAAATTTGAAAAACATGGTGTACACGTAACTCGCCCAATACTCGCCTCGCCTATGGGCCGAGGCCAAGTTATTTGGCCAAGTTTTAGAACTTTGGTTTCATTTATTCTATTGACCAAGTTCAAACTTCAAAAGAATTTTTCTTAAACTTTGCAACACAATAAAGCTGTCAAATTTCACATTTGATGGTTATAAGTAACTGTGACCTCTTTATATCAAACGTAAATGGTCTCATTGTATACAATCCGTCGGTGATATACTGAAACAATCTTAAAAAATAATCATTTTGTTGTTTGTTTGACCTTAATTTTTAAATAAAAATATAGAATGACTATTTACTTAAGAGGTTGCAATTACTCATGCTTATCAACATTGTATACAAGTAGTTAATGATATACTGAAAAAATCTTCAACAATAATCATTTTTGTTGTTTGTTTGACTTTAATTTTTAAATAAAATTATAGAAAGACTATTTACTTAAGAGGCTGAAATTCACAATTAGATATCTATTTACTAATTAGTCATGCCTATCAAATTTTAAACTGGATGGTTATAAATGTGCCATTAACTAGTCTTGAAATTCGCAATTAGTGACACACCCCAAGCCATCCAATTGGATATCTAATAGTTATGAGTGATTGTAGTGAACAATCACAAAAAAAAAAAAATTGAAAACACATCTTAGAAAATATTTTTCTAGCCCAACTGATACAGATCGTCTAAATTGGTAAGATTTGGAGGAGGAATCATTTTGACCATGTAGAGGGTATAAATTGAATTTAATTATTTAGAGATTAATTATTAGGACAATAAAGGGTGTGTACAATTTTTAGGTTTAAAAAAATACCACAAATATGATTTTTCTAGTAATGTGGTTTTATTATAGTACTAGTCCTATGTGCATTGCACGTATGAATCAAATAAGCAATCACAACCTTCTCATATATATCATCTAAGTGGTTTTTTTTTTTTTTTGCTATTAACCTCCTATAACGTAATCAACTTATGAACGAAGAACTATTGACAATAACATTGTACCAAAACTATAAGGATAATACTTCTTAGGTATTATTGAAAATAAACAATACCATAACAAACAACTTTGTAATATTTGTATATTAAGCGAGAGGGATACCCTCGCTATTCTTATACCACATATCCTTTTGTTTTTCATAATTGCCTTCTCTCTCTCTCTCTCTCTCTCTCTCTCTCTCTCTCTCTCTCTCTCTCTCTCTCTCTCTCT